GGGTGGGGGCCGGCTGGTTTGCCCTGAAGGGTGTCCTGGATCAGGGTAGGGGTCCCCACTGGGGTGCCTGGCCAGTCTGGGTCAGGGGCTGAGGGCTGCTTTCAGGCTGGCGGGTGACTGAAGCTCCCAACCGCTCCCTTTTTTCTTTTTCTTTTTTTATTCTGGGCTAGCTTTAGCTCTGAGGCCTCAGCTGCTGAAAGCAGGTTGCTGGCCTTTGTTTACCTTCTGTATTTGATACAATGTTGCGGTCCGGCTGGCTGAAGCCCGGCTGACTGAAAGCCGGTTTCTGGGGTTTTGTTTAGCTTCTATATTTGCAACATAGTTGCTTAGAGTTGCAGCTGAGAGGCCGGCAAGTCAGGCGGGGAACATTGGAGTCCGCAGTCACTGGAGCAAGCAAGCCTTCCTGTTCGCTTCAGTGCATGGCTGCCGGCCGCCATCTTGGCTGGCTGTTAACTTGCATATCGCCCTGATTAGCCAATGGGAAGGGTAGAGGGTGTACTGCTAATTACCATATTTCTCTTTTATTAGATAGGATATGTCTAGATTTGAAATCACTTGTATTTCCATAATCCTATGAATAAGAATTTCATTTTTTTAAAAATATTTAAGTGCCTTAAAATTCATAACACATCAATGAGTATTTTTAAAATTTAAAAAGTTATCTGTCCATAATAAAACTTTATTCTGAGTTTTTAAAATGAACAGTAGATAAGTGTATGGAGAATGCTTCAAAGAATACAAATGTTCAGTTTGCTCTCCTTATGACTCTTATATAGTGTATTATGCTACAAGAATATATCATTGCTTGTTCAGTCATAAGTAAGATGCTGAAAAAATTTAAACATGCTGATATAGTAGTAGAATCCGATTCAAATTTTGATTTTGCAGTGGGAAATTTACCTAATTTCTATGAGCCCTATTTATTCAAAATATAAATTCTTTCTATTTTTCAAATTACATTGATATGACATATGAAATATACATAACAAAAGTAGGACAAAATAAACTAAATGATACCCATTGACATTATTTTAACCTTATGATATTTTACATACAATTTAAAAAATAATTATAAACTATTCAAAGAAACTAATACCTCTTCCCTGTTGGGTCCTCTACAGCCAACACAATATGGCCACATAATAAGTAAATTTATGCTGTTCGGAAAAGTTAGTCTGAACTAATATAAACAGAGGTAATGCTAAGAATTATAAAATTATTCCCCATGACAGTAAATGAAGAGTAGTTTAAGGAGCCAAGGACTTTCTTTTACATCTTTGGTAAATATTTGTTTGCTGCTTTGTTAAAACAACATCAAGTTCCACAGTCATCATTCCAAAAATACCAATTAAGTATTTTGATAAAATCATATAATAGTAGAACTAAAAAATAAGCTTTAAGATGAAGATATAGGCAAACTGTTTAGCAACGTAACTGGGGAATGTGGTATGAATATAAGCTTAATTTCATAATATCATTTTATGCTGTCTGATTATACAGTGCCTTTATATTATTGTAATTATGACAGATATGTGGCATGTCCTTTTGAGCAACTTTTGGCAGAAAATCAGATCTGAGGTAGAGAATCCACAAGGGAGGGTATACGGACATTGATTGTGAATTATGTAGGAGATGAAAGGAAGACAGTTTATCCCATCTCTATATATGGCTGATTAAATTAACATCTCAATGAAAAGATAATCATAATTACAATGAAAGAAAAAAAAGCAGCTAATAATCTTCTTTTCTTGCTCTCAAAGGAGGATTCCCTCATGGCCCAGGCATCTTCATTCTGTATAGATGTGGATGGCAACAGATGTGAGGGTCATAATTTATCTCAGTTTATGACTTGTTTGCTGCTGTGCTTCAGATTTCAGTTATATTTTTAAGGAAGAAGTCAAGTGTGGCAAAATGAACAAATTAATATGTTTTTTCTACTACATGTTAGTTTTGTAGCTACCAGGAAGCTTCAATAATTAAAGATAAATTAGGAAGAGATACTTTCTCTCTTATAATCTCACTACTAGATAACATATTAAAAGGCAAGCAAACACAAGGCTGAACTTTAAAAATGAGTTTAACCATTTATTAAAAAGCAGGAGGGACTCCAGTTAGAACATGACAATATTCACCATTGACTACAACTTATATCACTTGAATCCACTTGTATCTATAATAATAAAAGCTTAATATGATAATTAGACTGGACAGCCCAATGACTTTCCGGATGTCCTTCCAGACAAAGCCACGGCAGTGGGGACCGAGGCAGAGGCGGTTAAGGGCAATCAGGCAGGCAGGTGAGCAGTTAGGGGCGATCAGGCAGACAAGTGATCCCTGCGGGGTCTAAACTGGCAGTTAAACATCCTCCGAGGGGTTCCGGATTGGAGAGGGTGCAGTTTGGGCTGAGAGACCCCCTGCCCATACACAAATTTTGTGCAATGGGCCTCTATTATTATAATAAATTCTAGACATCTCAGAAGGCATATTCAGGAATTTTAGTCGAGGGGTTCTGGATTGGAGAGGGTGCAGTTTGGGCTGAGGGACCCCCTGCCCATACACAAATTTTGTGCAATGGGCCTCTATTATTATAATAAATTCAAGACATCTCAGAAGGCATATTCAGGAATTTTAGTCTCTTTTCTGGAGAAATTTTAAATAAAATTAGTGGAAAAAACAACCGTCTTCACTGACATAGTTGGTTTCAGGATCATCGTTATCTTCCTCCTCTAATACCAAATCCAAATTCCCTATACTCTTATCTAGATCAGCAGACAGGAGAGAGTCTGCTGAACTAAGCAGCTTACCTGTGGAGTGACCCAGATTCTTATCACTGAGGTGTTTGATCACCAGCCCATTCTCATGCTATGACTACTGCACTAAGTGATTTAAAATTAAAATCGGCCAAAGGGATACCAAGAGACAGCCCAGAAGTTTACTGGGATGAATGAAGCACTGGTAATTATTTATTTTACCTATTGGGAAAATAAAAAGAGTAAAGGCCCTGTGTTAAAACATTTGCTTATATCTGTAGTGAAATACTCCAACCATGACTGGTTTAAAGCTACCATATTTCATAACTGAACAAGGAGTTGAGAAGAGCGATATATAACTGGCCTGATGAGCACATCACTGCCAGATGCCGAACATACGCCTGTCTGCTCTGCTGTGCAGCAGCAGCTGCTCTTCCTCCTGATGGTCGAAGTGAGAATCTGCCTGGGTGATGTTCTTTCCTTGCCTGTTGGTCCTCAGCACAAAGAGTTTAGATAATTGCATGGCAGCCATGGCATGTTTAATTCTTGCTCTGTCCACTCATGGAAGAGATTTCCCTGTGGGAAACAGTACCTTTAAATCTTCTCAGCCAAGAATGCAAAGACAGGATGCAAAAATCCCCCAATGCATTACAAGGAGTGATGGTAAGCAGACCTCTCCCACTTTAATCCCTTACTTACCAGATTTTGCTGTATTTATTGAGGACACAGCATCATACCATTGCCATCAGTTGAGAATGGCAACTGATCCTATCAAGGAATCATCTTCAACCTGCCACCACAGCAGTGTCTTCAAAAGGCTCTATTTTTCTAACAGAATGGTGACTTCTTGAAGACATGTCATGTGGTAGAAGTAGGTCTTGTATGTAATACAATATATCCCTTTTAAAAAGTGGTTTCTTTGCTCTATAATTAGATTATGCAAGATTTCTTGGCAGTAGATCAAATACTCTGTAAGCTCCCAGAGTATAGCACTGGCAGAAGAACTGTGAGGAAGGGAAGTCAAATTTATACCTAATTTCAGTCAGAATGAATCCCTGCCCCTTCCAGTATGAAAAGAAGGATCCGATATAATTAACTCATCAGCAAATAGTATCCTGATCTTTTTGAGAAACTGAGTGGGAATTTTGCCATGAATCTCTGTTGCTGACAAGTTTGACATTAAACAGTAGTTGTGTTATTAAATCAGAGTTGGTGACTAGGCTCTTAAGGTCTTAGATATCCTCCAGTCTGTACCCAAAGCTACAGCATTCATGGGCCATGTACCAACCTGGGGTGGTGAGTGACAGATGGCTGATGTCCACTAGCTGAGTCATTATGCCTACTTGGTTGTATGCTAGATGCTCTCTGGTGGGTGATAACATATGATAAAGAAAAAATAGCACTGTATTGAAAAAACACAAGTTCAAACATATTTCTACATTAAAAATATTAACAGTCAAGCTCTTTTTAAGATTTCATAGGCCAAAGAAACTAACAACTGGAAGCATCCCTCCAGAATGCTCATCCTATATAATAAAAGGCTAATATGCAAATTGTCCCCTCGACCAGGAGTCCAACCAGGAGTTCACCCAAGGGGTGGGAGGGCGGGAATCACCCCCCCACCTCGATTGGGGGCGGGGCCAGCTGGTCAACCACCCACAGACCCTCCCCCTGGCTGGCCTGATCGGCCCCAATTGAGGCGGGACAGCTGGACCCGACCCATGCACTAATTTGTGCACCGGGCCTCTAGTCTATATACTTAAAAGCCTAAGTGACCAAATGACTGAATGACCAAACAACTGGTCGACCAGTTGCTATGACATGCACTGACCACCAGGAGACAGATGTTCAACTCTCAGGATAGGGCTCCCTCCTGTCTGGATTGGGCTGAAATGCTCTATCCGACATCCTCAGTGGGGTCCTGGATTGTGACAGGGTGCAGGCCAGGCTGAGGGACCCCACCAGTGCACAAATCTATGCATTGGGCCTCTAGTATCAAATAAATCTGTATTACAAATTAGAGATATTTCTGCTAGAATATACTAAAATTATTTTTATATAATTTTGCTTCTAAAATTATTTGACTACATGTAACATTATTTTAATAGTTGACTAACTTTTTGACCACCATTTTGCATATTCTGAATTTTTTCAAAGTGGAAACAACAAATTCAAAATTGTTTTTTAAATATATTAATATGCTAAAACTAGTGGCCCGGTGCATGAAATTCATGCACATTAAAAGGGGATTAATTAGAGGAAATATTTTAATATTGCTATTTTCCCTTTCTCTATAATAGAAGTGTCAGAGATGAAAGAAAATTAGTAAAATGTATATGAAAATCTTCCTCCTGTCAGAGTCTGGGGCACGCTGCGGGACCCAGAGTCAAGTCTCCGCACAACTGCAGCACCTCAAAATTGTGCTAGACCCAGACACAGCTGCTCCACCCCCATTGGGTGAGATCCATACCCGACCGACCCCACCCTTGTCAAGCCCCGCCGAGTGGAGGGCACAGCCTCAGGTGCCCCTGCACACATCAGGAGGGGGGTGCAGCCTCAGGTCCCCCAGCATACCTGCAGGTCGCCTGGCACTGGGGTGGGTAATGTGGCCTGAGGTCCCCCAGCCCAGGCCAGGGGGCACAGCCTCAGGTCACCCAGCCTGGTGCTGGGGTGGGGGGCACAGCCTCAGGTCTCCTTCCCCAGCCCAGTGCCACGCAGCCTCAGGTCTCTGTTGATTGCTCGTTAAGGCTCGTTAGGTGAACTCGGCCTCCGCTGTGGGCTCAGCCATCTTGTGTTATGGAATCCCTGCCTCCGCTGTGGGCACAGCCATCTTGACTGTTACCACGTGATGGTCAATTTGCATATTTCCTCTTATTAGATAAGATATTAAAGTAACTATATCCTGTTACTTGTAGAACTTTTACAGTTTACATTCTTTTCATTATTAAATTGTTTTTTTTTATTTGTTTGTTTGTTTTTTTGTATTCGGGAGAACATAATTTATTTTTCAAGCCCCCAAAGTTGTGTTGTTGTTGTTTTAATGTATTTGCTTATTTTAGTAGGGCATGCAGAGCTTAGAGTCCTATGCTCTGTGTGACTCATGGGTAAATGGTTCTGTTTGCAGTGATTGTAACCTCTCCAATTTATTACTTTATTCTCACTAAATTTTTATAATTTATTTTATTCATAAAAATGTTTCCCTATCATTTAACTTTTAAGGCTTTTTATTTTCTGCATAACATTAAGTATATTTTAATGGGAGCTTGTTGACTTTGCAAATGTACTAAATCTGAATTTCCTCTTTGTATAAATCCCCTTATAAATTCCAAAAGGTGATCTCTAATGTCTGCCCTTGGAGAATAATTCACTGCAGTTATTACTGTTTCTGAATTTGGTCATCCTTATTTACTAGTTGGAGGTTTCTCTATTTGTGAGAATAAATACTCAAAACTAGAAAGATTTGTTGTAAAAAAAAGTGTTTACTCTCAGTTCTGTTTTCCTTTGACTTATCATTTATTGGTGTCTTTATGGTGTAGTTTTCTTGATAGAATTCTTCTGGATGACCTACAGTACATGTGAAGATTTTCACTTATATTATAAAACTGTCCATAAAACTGTCTCCAACACTACAAACCACATATTACTCATGTTCTGAAAGTGCAAAGATGAATAGGACTATTACTTAGGAAGGGTTTGCTTTGTAGATCAATAGCAATGACAAAAGTATAAAATAATAGTGTGCTTCAAATAGTTGTTTGTGCAACTACTCATTGAGAATAAAATATACAATTATAGAAATTAAATTATTGGGAATTAAATATACATAAGCATACACATTAAATCATTGGTAATTATTACACCATAATGTTTTGGCAATGGACCTATGCAATTACATATATAATTTTTCCTCACCCTTCTCTCAGAGGGTTTTATCATTTTTTTATGATTACTGGAATAAGGAGACACTTTTGAAGATTACACTTATTTGGCAATCATTAGACTTTCATTCTTTTATCACAAAGGTAAAATTTCTGTCTGCCATTTTTTTAGTATTAAAAAATAAAAAGGTTAAAATAGGATAGTGTATTACTAAATTAATAGTAATACAAATTAATGTTTGTATTAATGTTTGTGGAAATAATATTTTAACCTAACAAAATTTATCCCATGGATAATTAATAAAAAGTATGTCCTTAACTACTATTTTCATGTCAATGCCATAGGAAACTGGTTGCATTAGAAACTTGTACTGGAAATAAAATAATTTATTAGGTATACCTAATACAAGAACTAGAGTTTTCTACACACATGGCTAGAGCTTCACAGTTATAAAGGAATAGTTACTGGTGCAACATACTACAAATTATTTTAAATGTTTCTCTCCCTAACAATAAAAAAAATGTAGTAATGGACCTATAGAAACATGTCCATGAAATAAAAATATCTACCAGACTATTTAAAATGATAGGCAATTAATAAAAACCATGTGTTTCAATTAATTTTGACTCTCAGAATGTTTTATTACAAAAACATTGCTTTGCCATTTATTCATATACTAAGAGGCCCGATGCACAAAATTCGTGCAAGAGTAGGCCTTCCTTCCCCTGGCTGCCTGCACTGGCTTCCCTCTGGCACCTGGGACCCAGGCTTCGCAGCCCCTGCTTCACCAGAAAGGTCATTCGGAAGGATGCCTGGAAGGACGTTGGGTCAATTTAGCATATTATGCCTTTATTATTATAGATTTCTTCCACATAAAAATTAATTTTCTCTTTTATATATGCAAACAATGAATTATCTTCTGGAGGACTTTATATGTGAATAAACACAGTTCTATTACTTGTAATGCTTATAATAGAGTGAAAATTAAAGAACAGAATCTAAGTTAATAATGATACAAATTAGAATGTGATGTATAGTGTGAGTGAAAGACCATAAGAAGTTGAAAAGAAGTAATTATTAAAGGATGAGGTAAATTATATAAAGCTATAAATGATGAAAGGGGATTTAATCTAATTACTAAATAGTAGGATCATTTTTCAACTGTAAAGATGTTCTAGGACAGAACACATGAGCAAACACATGGAAACAGGAAAGTTTAAGATATTCTAGAAACACAAAGTTTCATGATTTGGCCAGATATTAAGTAATGGGGGTGAGGGGAGGAGTAAATAATGGTTGAACCCTAAGTACAAGCAAGAGGATGGAATATTCTATTAAGTATTTATCTTTATTTACTAGGCCTTGGGAAATCACTAAAATCTTTGAAGATCAGATATATATATCTTTACATTCCACAATTATTGTAGATTTTATCATTTCTTTCTGAAGATGGGGAGAATCAAAAAGGAGGCAAAATGTATCCTCCACAAAAAAAGCTTACAATGGTAGGAAGGCTATGACATCTATAATAATAAAAGCTAATTAGACTGGACATCCTTCTGAATGACCTCCCAGACGAAGCCGAGGCTGTGAGGGAAACCTGGGTCCTGGGTGCCTGCCGGCAGCCGGAGGGAAGCCCGGGTCCCAGGTGCCAGAGGGAAGCCGGTGCCAGCAGCCAGGGGAAGGAAGACCTATTCTTACACGAATTTTGTGCATTGGGCCTCTAGTTTCACATAAGACCATAATGTATGACATAGGACAGAAAGTCTTACAAGACACAAGCACAAAGATACCCAGCTGAAAGAATCAGAAAACGTTTTCAAAGAATCTATATTTGAGATGAATGTTTGAGAATTTCAAAAGTTGAATGGAGGTATAGTATGGGGGTACTTTTCTGGTCTGGGTAATAATTTGAGTAAACTAGCAAGAAATAAACTTCTGGGATGATCTTCAGGTAAAAGTTAATGGCTCTATGGGTGAGTAGTAATTATATGCAGAGTTCTAGAAGGCAGGGAGTTTGTAAATTGAAGGGTAGCCATATTATAGATTTATTTAGAGGGGTATGAGAGTTAATTAAGTTACTGAGAAATGAAAAGTCATTGAGAGCTTGACAGTAATAAAACTTAATTTGTAATCATAAAAGTGTAATGATTAGAGAATAAATTAGAGTTTAAAGAAATCTTATTGACAATGGTGGAGTAAAGGTGAATCACTAAGTTCCCTCTTCCAAAACCTAATGAACTAATAAGAAATTCTTCACCACTATTACTAACATCAGCCATGAATATCTACTTGAATTTTTAATAGAACTTATTTTATAAAAAAATAAAAGACAAAGAGAAGAGAACCTGCTAGCGCAAATGTCAATTAGGAGGTTATATAATGCCTTGGGTGGTTGGGAAAGAATAGTTTACACTATAAAGAAGACCACTTATAATTTTTAAAATAGAGCAAAGGAAAAAAATAAACTTCAGAAATGTACTAATGGAACAAAGGAAAAAATGAATACAATAATAAGAAGAATTACTGCTCTGGAAAATTAAAGCCATGAGACCCTGACTGGGTGGCTCGGTTGGTTAAAGCATCTTACTGATACACCAAGGTTGTGGGTTTGATCCCTGTAAGGGTACATACAAGAAGCAACCAATGAATGCATAAATAAGTGGAACAGCAAATCTATACCTCTCTCTCAAGTCAATAAGTGAATAAAAATAAAATTAAGTCAGAGATGGTTAGCAAACTTCCCCCAGAGTGCAGAGGAAAGAGAGACATAAGATGAAAACAACGAGCGAGCATATGATAAAAATATAGGGAAACAATGTAGCTCGAGCATTTTAGGAATATCAACTTAAAATGAAAACAACAAAACAAAATGATTAGTTGGAACAGAAGGAAAAATCAAAGGCATAAATAAACAAAATTTCCTGAGGTAAAGGACTGGTTGAAATGGGGATGGGGAAAAGACTTAATATCCAAGTCAATGTTCCAAAAAGTATCAGAATCTAAATGGTCATTTCAAATGACAAGAGAGGAGAAATGTTGTTATCCACCAATTGTATTATTATTCAAGTTGTCTTTTATGTGTGAAAACAATAAAAATGTTTTTAAGATATATAGGGCTTCAGAAAACATTCTACACACAGGTATACAGGTAAGCTCTTTGAAGGGATAGGCAATATCTATCTTATTTATCACTTTATAACCAGCAATTAGTGGGAAAGCTAATAAATAATGGCTCTCTATCCCCCTTTCATTATGTGCTATGGAGGTTTTCTACAGGTTATTCTGCATTCTATGGCAATAAATAGTTGACACAAAGTTAATATACGATGTTTTCCATGGAGATAATTTCCAGGGAGAAAAATGAAGCAGGGCAACGGAGACAGGAAATTCTGGGGCCATGGGATAATTGTTTAATAGAGAATGACCAGGGAACACAAAATAGCTAAGTGATATTTGAGTAAAAATATGAAGAAAGTGAGAATTCCAACAAAATGTTTCCTTCAGCTTGACTAAATATTAGACAGGCTTCTTCCTGCCTCTAGGCCCCTGAACTTCCTTTTCTTAGAGCTTATACTTTAAAAAGGTGTCATTGTAAAACCTTCCCCTGTCCGTTTGTGATGCAAAGCTTCTTGCCTATTTTTCAACCCAAGAATGTCTTTCTCAAGGGTCTGGGAGCCATCTCTTTGAAATATAATCATCAAGGAAGAGTGTGCCCCTAACTCAATTTCTGTGGACAGGTAGGAGCCTAACTTTAGCAGGTACCTTGTCATGAAGAAAGGAGAAAGTTTATTTTTAAAGGTTCTACATCTATAGATGTTTTTATAATGGTGTTTGGAAACCAGTGCTGAATGTAAGTTAACAGCAATTATTAAAATGCACTATGTGTTTCTTAAGGTCAGGAATGTGATATGAGGAATTAATGCATTTTTCTTAGAAGGTTAAATCTCTGAAATGAGGGGTCTTAAAATTAGGAAAACAACCATATTCAAGTGCAGGCTCAACAAATAAGCTTTTGGACTGGTCTCTGATCCAAACTTTCTCCCCAATAACTTTACATTTTTAAAAAAGTGAATGCAACTATTGAGATACAGACAGGGTAAAATGTTAACTGATTTGAGCCATATACAGGAAAACTATAGTTATATTTGGGTCCAGGTAAAAAAGACATAAAGGGAGGTGATTTTGAAAGAAAAAAGCTAAAATGATTATAATATGAGGTGCTTTATGGAGAAAAGGCTGAAAGAGGGTTACTATGAAATATTAGTATTAGGAGATATTATGGGCATGAGGGTATTGACCATCTGGGGTAGTTGGGAGAATGAATTAAAAGTGTTGGAAAGGAGAAGGTGGTACAGAGTGGGGAGTAGAAAATCACTACGGAAAACATTTTCTAAGTGGCAATGTAAAAAAAACCCCATAAAAACCTACTTTCAATGTAGTACATTAAATTAGTCAACATACATACCTTGTTTCCAAAATAATAAAGCATATAATACCACTCTGCATATTATTTTCCTGGATTTCATTTCCTTTATATTAACAAATTGATTTTCTTCCATGATACAGTAACATTCATTAAATTATTACATACAGTCAATAAATATGCATTATTATTTCCCCCAACATAAGGTTACAGATGCCTTGTGAATGAATGTCTTCCTCCCCCCTTATCCTGTGGCATTTCTTTGTCCTCTGTGCAAGTAAGATAAGCATTTTGGCATCTTGCAGCTGTTTCTACCCTCCACATATGCATTCCTGTCCCATGGACCCTCTTTATTCCCTAAACCTACCTGTTTTGTCTCTAAAATTTCTTTTACAAGGAAGCAGGATAGGCTCTAATTTTTAATACATTTTAGGGGGAAATTATTATAACCATTTAAGTGGCAGAGGTAATGACTTTGGATAACTTTCAAAACATCTTCACTTTCTAAAAGGTTATTTACATTTTTTTCTAGTAATTTTGCTGTTGTTTTTATTATTCTTATTTTCTTTCTGTAGCGAGCGGCATTTATCCTTTTAGAGTGAGCTGTGTGCAAAGAATCTTTTGCCCACATGAGAAGCCCACGGTGTCCACTAAAAACCAGTAGATAGCAGTAAAACAAGGAACAGGACAGGAGCGATGGAACATGATGGATATGATGCCAAATGCAATAGGAGTGTTTATAAATATAGTGAGAAAACTGCCAAGGATTTCTACCAAGGGAAAAGGAAAGACATATATCATGAACAGAACTAGTAAAAAAAAAAAATAGAGTCAAAGAGAGAGGGTGTAAAGGAAAACCTTCAGCTTTCTCACAGCAATTACCATTTTTATTTGGTCTTTTTTGAAATTTCTTTCTGTAATTTCCTAACACATTTGTGTCAAAGGAAGAAGAAAATTGGATTGTCACCTGAAAGAAGAAGAGAGAATGAACTGATGCTGTTGTCAGGTTTTCGTCATGAAGTCAGAAATGTGAACATCGACGTTTCTGTTAATCACAGATAACCAACCTGGGTAAGTGAGGAGCACGAGCAGCCGGAGTCAGGTGCAGCTGCAGGAGCTGGAAAAGTGAGGCTGTTTAGGCTAATGAGGCAAAACAGAATAAAGGCCAAAGTCACAACAGAGAGAGTCTTAAATGCACAGCTGTATCTACTGTTGTCTCTTTTCCCACCTGCTCTTCACTTGCAGGTTCATTTTTTTCTCTGTGCGGTCTGTTTGCTTCTCTGCAGGGCCCCTAACATTTTTTTTTTGAGTCCAGGGCAGCTGCTATTGATTATTTATTGTAAGTGCCCTGTATCAGATAAAATTTAATTTTCTCCTATCTGTAGGCCCTGAGCTGAAGTTAACTGTGTTTGTCCAAAGTTCACGTGTGAGACAAATCACACTGTTATAAAAGTTCATTTTAATTATCAAGCATGATGTGGCTTGAAATGATACACAAACACACACACATGTCATTTATTACAAGAATATACAATAGGCAAAGCATGTGTGGGGAATTTGAAGATGGATAAATGAAGCAGTGTTCTTTCTCATGTTTGGAACAAGTTGAACAGGTAAGATATACATGAGCAGAGGGCTGCCTTGCCGTTAACGCTGATTTGGAAATGGGGCTTTAGGTTTCACCCAAATGGACACACTCACACTTTATGTCATTAGAAAGACTCCCTATCTTAGTCAGAACTGGACAACTTGGATTATCCTGAGGGCATGGGGTCCAATATTTTAGCACAAAGCTCACTCCAAAGAATATGGGCTTTCTACAGGTAATATAATTATAATGATCACATAATACAATAATCCTATATAAGAAAAGCCCAGCGCCCAAAATGGTGGAACAATCAGAATGACCAGAGACCAGATCGACCCCATCCCCTTGCCCCAGCTGGCCCCGCCCCCCCAGGGGGACCCCCACCCTGATCCAGGGCCCCATCAGGGCTGGCCAACCCCCACCAGAGCACTGGGCTTCTATCCTATATAATAAAATGATAATATGCAAATTGACCCTAACTGTGAAACAACCAGCATGACCACTCGACCAGTCACTATGAGGAGCACTGACCACCTCTTGGTACCTTGCCCTGGCTGGCAGGCTCCGATTGACCGATGGCGAACAGGGAACCAGGGGTGGGTGGTGGCAGGCAGCAGGGCTGGCGAACGGGCAGAATGGCTGACCCCTCGGTTCCTCCCCCCGGCTGGCAGGCGCTGATTACCCAATGGCAAACAGGGAACTGGGAGTGGGTGGCGGCAGGGGGTGGGACTGGCTGCGGGCACCGGGGAAGATGGCCCTGATTGCAGGCCAGGGCTAGGAACTGTACCCACACATAAATTTTGTGCACCGGGCCTCTAGTAATGATAATAATAACATTACTAAAACAATAGTAACAAAAATACATTTTCACAATGTCCCTTCAGAGCCTCAAGTGCTGTGGCTAGCACATTTACCCTGGAAAAATCTGAAAAAGAAAAGGAAATTAGATTTTTTACCTGCATTATAAATGTCCTCCCCTACCCAAAACCTTGAGGAAGATCCATCTCCCATTCCCCTTACCCCCGCGGGGATCCTCCATGCAGACCCATTGCAGGTGGTGTAGTCCAGAAACCCAGGACTGGATAAAGCACACCTGCATGGGGCAGCTTTCTCACTAGGCTTCTGTTCTATCCTTTGGGTCTATGCTAGGGCAATATTTAGGCAAAGCAGCTGAACAGGAGCCACCTTCTTATCACTGAGCGCTATTTTCTTGTGGGATATTAATATACCATAAACATGTGAGCACATAGTTACTATTACACACACATCTTTAGCTTTCTGTTAGCATTTGCTTTGACTGATCTATTAAAAGACCAGATTTTTGACTGATCTATTAAAAGACCAGATTTCTGCTCTGGCTGATTTGGCTCAGTGGATGGAGCATCAGCCTGGGGACTGAAGGGTTCCAGGTTTGATTCTGGTCAGGGGCACATGCCTGGGTTGTGGGCTTGATCCCTTGTGGGGAGCGAGGGAGATGCAGGAGGCAGCCAATCCATGATTCTCATCGTTGATGTTTCTATCTCTCTCTCCCTCCCTCTCCCTTCCTGTCTGAAATCAATTAAAACAAACAAACAAGCAAACAAACAAAAAACAGATTTCTAATTCCCTGAGGTAAATTGCAAGCACATCATATTGAAGGGTTTTTAATAACCTCAGTTTTCATCAAGTCATATGAATTGTTGAGCTCTTCATAATTTAAAGCCTTCATTTACTCTTAACTTGTACTAAAATAAGGTTTAATGACTGAAGCCACCTTGATTTTCCTAGATCACACTCTTAGATTCCAATTAACATATCTCTATGACAACTTACTATAGTTCCTTATTTCTAACAACACTCTCTGCACTGGTAAGTATTTTAAAACATTTTAAATTTCAAATTTGTGGAGGTTTGACACAGTTTAATATGAGTAGGGGGACATGAATTATTTTCATCAGCCTAATAACTTAGGTGTAGAAAAATGTAACACTATTTTTGATATTTCAGCTTACTTACTATATTGAGTCTCCCTGGGGGGTAAAAAGTCAATGCTAGGTAAAGCTTTGGTGCTTTTATAAGCATTATAAACTGGCAATCCAGACATTTCCTTATTTGTTCGACTTTCCTCTAGTTTTTAGAAGCTTACATAATTAAAGTACCTAAGCAGGCTTTGGCCATATTTGATACTAAGCTAGTGAGATATCACACACCTTCTCTGGTTTTTACTATTGAGCGTATCTTCAGTGACGCTCCTTGAGCTCGATGTGGTCCTGCCAGGGCCTCCAATCATTAGCCCTTGTATCTTTCTCATTTTGTTCTCCAGATCCATGAAGATTTGCTAGCTATGTCGCCACCCTTCATTCTCTCTTTATAGGAAATCTGAAAATTTTCAAATATTTCTCTTTGCCTCTCTGGGATAGTGGTTGACTTGGAGACGTATGAAACTGTCTCAGCTCTCTGTCTAGAATTTTTTTTAACCAAATATTTCCACTTTTCTGATGCTCCGTACTGTGAACAGAACTTTTATGAAACTTAATGCCATATTGGAAAAGTAGAAACACAGTTATCTGGAAAAATTCCTAAACATTTGGAACTCCCATTGTTCCCCACTCCTAAGTAGGGTATTGGGGAAAAGTAGAAAGGGGAAAAATAGTGTAAGAAATAAAGTCCATGGTGAGTAAATGGCATTTATAAAAAGTTTGGGTACTAAATTTTGATCAAATCTCAATTCAGAGATAACTCACATTCCAAAAACAAACTGATTAAACAATAAGAAAGGAGAGTATGAGAGAATATTTGAATAAAGTGAAACAAAGACCCGTGCTTGTTTTGTTTGTTTTAGAGTTGAAAGTTCCAGCCAGCTGGAGTGCCAAAAAGTGTGGACCAGAGGGTACAGGTAAGATATTGTACAAAAAAAAAAAAAAAAAAAAAGCTTATGAGAGTCTGTGTTTCAAATAAGGAATTTTGTTTTTCTGCCTCATCTTTGTTACAACCACCATCTACATAAAATAAAAAAAAATGATTTTGAGGTCAGATTTTTCTCAGCTACAGACTGTAGAACTGCCCGTTCAACCCCTTCATTTGAATTTCTCAAATGCATAAAAAATGGAAAACATTAAATGGTCCAATTTTAATCCCTCATCTGAGTTCCCAATGACCCTATCTTAGATAATTACATTACCATGTAACTATTTGCTGAGTCCTGAAACCTAGGGGTTATCTTTTACATCTCCATTTGCTTTATAATTTCCCCATGGTAGGAAAACCATCTAAAAGACTATTGCGGCTCTTTTTCAGCTAAATATATCCATGTAATTAATTTTTGTCTGCCTAGATTCACATCATTTGGGATTTCTAAGAGTGCTTCTGAAAGTTTGCTGATTTCATTTGTTTGCTTTCGTCTTCTACTTTCTCTTTTTGGCATAGAATTTGAATTTGGGTATGATTACTGGTAGCCCAACATAAAATATTATTTCTTAAAGTTGAGAATCAAGGATGGTGGAATCAAAAGATGAAAACTTTTATTCCTGATGATAAATATGACTATATATCAGTTTTTTATTACCAGCCTACAAATTAGTTTTTCTGAGGTCTTGGTTTAATGAACAATGTAGGGAGGTTGAAATAACAAATTTTGATATTTCAAGCAGAAAAGCTTTGACTTATTTTTGACAATATGCTTGGCCAAACAATTATCTTCTGCATTTTGGAAGGCATCACTTAGGGAAAATTCAAATTTTGTTTTGCTTACTTTGAGAAGTTTACTAAGTGTTATAAGAGAGTGATTCCTAAGTTTAGAAGAAGCCCCATTACAAGCAAGCATAGGAAGTATTACAAATTTGCTTATAAGAGGGGGCTTTCCGCTGAGCCTATAGATTCATAGGAATGCTTTATTATGAGTTTTTCTTAATTTGGATATAGTAGGATTCACTCATCATGCAATACAAATTTGTGCATTTTGATATATGCTTAGGGATATGTACCCATCATCTACACCCATCACCAAAATCGAGTTAGAGAACAATGTCATGCCTGAAAAAATTCCTCCTGCCAAGTCTGATAGTCAACATTTCTGATTATCCCCAACTCTGGCAACTATTAATGTGTTCTCATTTCTATATTTGTGCATTTTTATATAAGTAGAATAATATAGTTCATAGCGCTTTGTCTTTCTTCCTGTATTTAGTAAAATAGTATTTGAAATTCATCCCTGTTGTGTGTGCGTAGTTTGTTCCTCTTTATTTGTGAGTAGTAAGTTCATTGTATGGATGTACTATATTGTGTTTATTCATTCACTGGATGAAGGACATTTAGATTGTGTCTATTTGTTCACATTATGAATAATGCCACTATAAACATTACTATAAAGTAAAGTGTAAACATGTTTTTTACTTCTCAGCATAAATAACTGGAAGTGTGATTGCTGGTGTATATGGTAAGTACATATGTAATTTCATAAAAAACTGCCAAAGTATTTTACAAAGTAACTCTTCATTTTGCATTTTCATCAGCAATGTATGATCTGCATTCTCACCAACATTTCATGTAGTCAGTATTTTTTTCTCATCTATAATAAAATAATAAAAGCGTAATATGCCAATCGACCGAACGGCTGAACAGTGTGGAACGACCATCCGGACAACCTTCTGGAAGATCTTCCAGACGAGCTTCCAGACGAAGCCCGGGCTGCAAATTCATACTCTTTTTTAAAAATATATTTTATTGATTTTTTACAGAGAGGAAGGGAGAGGGATAGAGAGTTAGAAACATCGATGAGAGAGAAACATCGATCAGCTGCCTCCTGCACACTCCCTACTGGGTATGTGCCCGCAACCAAGGTACATGCCCTTGGCCGGAATCAAACCTGGGACCCTTGAGTCCGCAGCCGAAGCTCTATCCACTGAGCAAAACTGGTTAGGGCTGCAAATTCATACTCTTGTATGAATTTCTTGCATAGGGCCTCTAGCAAGTGTATAATAGTATTGCACTGTAGTTTTTTTTTTAATATCTTTACTGTTTAAAATATTACAGA